TCAGGCAAGATCCCATCGCTAGTCCTTGTGTTTGTTCGTATAACTTACCATTAAAGGTAAAATATATGCTACTCATGGATAGATTAATAAATCGAATTGTGGAAGCTAAAATCAGCCTTATTCCTTGTGTTATCTCTGGATGCTCCTCCAGAGTTTGTATCAGAGCTTGAATAGCTCCCTAAACAGGAATGCTTGTGTACATAGACGCAACATCTAAACTTACTAGCTTATCCTCTTCTCAAAGCGTCTGTGCTCAATCAATTTCACAAACTCACACGAATTCTTAACTGAATATAGCCCCAAATTGGAAAAGTTCCTTAGTTGTATGCATTAAAAACATGAGATTTTATGCATCACGCTTCCTTTAATATTTAGAATTAATCTTATAGGGACACCTTCCTTGTGAACCTTGGGGAGACAGTAAGCCGTGGGGGCCCTCGAATCTCTCTGGAGTAGTTAATTCATTTTCCACTTCTCCATTTCACCATACCCTAAGGGCATCCTTTAGCCTAGTCCTAAATCTTTGCTGGATCTCTCAATAAAGGCTAGTGGTGTTGATAACACCTATGCCAGGTCAAAACCGCAGTCCATTCTGGATGAGGACATATTTTGGGAAAGCAAGGCTATGTGAAATTCAATGGAAACGTCAGCTCAACTCATATCATTGTGAGGAAATTCTTCTTCTACCAGTCCTTCATCACCTTAAACGAAATAGGGTGAATAAATATAATTAATTAACCGAATAGTGAGTAATATTAAGTTTATCAAGCAGTCAAAAATGCACAAGCAATAATCGTTTATAGAAGTTTTGTTAATTAAGAATTTTTTAGGTTAGGTAGAAACCTTTACAAAAAAAACTGCAGATGTTGATTTTCTATTTAAATTTTCTATTAAAGAGATTGAGTTTGGAATTTTTATTTCCAGCATCATTAAGGGTATCAAGCTGTTAGATATTAATCATTGTGATAACGAGATATATAGGCATATAAATTTATAAAAGATACTAAGTACCCATTAGGTTGGATTTAAAATATTTTTAATTAAACAGAATTTA